CAACATCCATTTCTATTACTCCTTTTAAAACCATCGTTTATGACAAATTTTATGTCTATAGCCAAGAATATTTGTGAAAATAAAAATGGATTATTTTGCTCAAGTCTCTGAGCGGCTATTAGCTTAAACAAAGCTCAGATCACATAAATTTACGAGTGTTAGAGAAAACAGCTTAAACAGGATGTTGAGGTATTTAATTTTTTAATTTAATAGTTAACAATATTTTGTTTCTTTGCGCACCACCGGTTGAGATTCGCTGGGTTTAGGTTATTTAAAGATTACAAGAGTTATCTGCCTAAGTGGAAGGTTGCCTTTGTGAAGCACTTTCTAAGAGAGCTGTTTCGTACTCACGATATACACGGGAAAAGCCAATCGTGCATCCCGCCTGGAATCGGACTCTCAGTATTCAGTGTTCTTAACCACTGATGGGGGCCCACAAATTTATGAGTCCTCACGTAAGATAGCTGTTTCATGCTAAAGTACTGCAGAACGTAAATTTTTCCACCATTATTTTGTACCAGGCTCTGCAAACATAAGCAGCAGGTTAGTAAGGTTATTGTGAGGCCTTAATATGAATATAGCACGTTTATATTTTTAATGGCCTCAGTATGAGTCAGAGAAGGAAATTTACAGTCAATTGTGACACTTACAGATACTGCAATTAAATCACTGTTTGCATTCGTGTCCTAATGAGATTCAGTACACACACGGTACGGCAATCAAGTCCAATAATAAATAGGGCTTGTCATTCCTGCTTATATGGATAATTACTGTCTGAAAAGCGTCATCTCTTTCCAACAAAATGAACAACGTAGTAAAAACCATTTTGATTCAAGTCTGTTAATGGCATTAGAATGAATTGAGTAGTTGAAGAGAAAATAAATTACTGTTTGATGTTTGAATGTTCTTTATGTTTGTAATGGAATCGTATTTGGAACAGAGATGTGCGATAAAGTTTCATTTTAATAGTGACAAAAGTGCTAACGAAACCTCTCTAATGATTAAAATCGCTTAAGTGAAGAGTGTCAGTCGTGTTTTAACGTATTTTCTCGTCTGGTAGATTTTGAGATACTACAGATGCCAATCGGTATGAACGGGAACCTGAACATCGAAGCTGTCTGTGTTGTGTTGAATCATTAACATTGTCGATTAATAATTAGAATGGTTGCAGAACATTTAAACATTGATAAAGAAACTCTCTGTACAATAATTGGTGAGGATTTAGGGAAAAGGAAATTGTTTTTTTGCTCCGCATTCATTAACAGAACAAAAAGATGATCGAGTGGCGGCTTATCAGGATCTTCTTGATATGTAAAATCGCGATCCAGACTTTTTAAAAAACACCATCGCAGATGATGTATCGTGGTACTTCACCTAATGATTCAGAAGCGAAGGGACTGAGTGCATAGTGGATTGGCTAAAACTTGACAAAAATCTTTGGTGATGACGACGCTAGTACATTCTTTTTTATTTATTTACTGTAGAGGCCTGATTCACCAGGAATTCGTTCCTGAACAGAAACTGAGAATGCCGTGTCTTTAATGGGTGTAGTGGATCAGCTATTGAAACGCATTCATGTGTGCATTCTGGTTTTCATGGAAACAAAAATTGTTCTTGTTAGACGATAATGCGCCATCCCACAACAGAGCTGTTACTCATACATTTTTGACTAAAAAAAAAAAAAAAAAGTTTCTTTGCAGTGTTTAAACTGATAGCAACTTGGAACAAACATTTTTAGCACATCCAGCACACTACAGGATGGCTTGTGGATCACGCCAAATGGTGTGTAACTTCACAAAAGTTGAATGTAGAATAACTGGTAAAATTTTTTTTTACTGCACTCGTTATTTTATGAGATCAGTCCTAAAACATTTTAGCCAGACTGTGTAGTTGGAATCAAAATAATCATGTGACCTGTCATCTATTAGGGCATTACTATCCCTAAACATGTACTTCAGGAAGTAATCAAACATTTCAGAAGCACTGAAGCTGATACACTAGACCTCTTGCAAACAGTTCAGTAGGTGATTTTATAATCGGCACCCTATACTTGCTATGTTGGTACAGTTTTCATACTTTTAATTTTGCATGTTTTATCTCTTGTTTCTAGTTTTTTTAAGCTAAGAAGAGTGTGCATTAATGGCTTATGCTCTACTGCAGAAGCCATTTAATTATGCAATTTCTCTCTGTTGTTAGACATGTATATATAATCACTGAATATTTAGTGTTTTGGCAAATCTGCATGCTCTTGCAGAATGTATTAGGACATGCCACAATAATATTAAGAACAAACTTATCATAGCTGCATCCAAGCTTTATATATTTGTGTATTATTCTAGAAAATTGATTAGACTGTTTTTATAAGTTCGAATTAAAATTTGTTTCACTACTATCTTAAATACCAACTCCTAGAATAGTACACACAGACAGGCATACCTTCTAAGCATAGTAAAACAAACTCTGATTAAAATAAACGAGTTTTCAGCATGGCCTTTACACAAGTTACCAGTAACGGAAGCTTAAAAGCCACCACTTACAGAAAACATAGGAAAAAAAAAAAAAAAAAAAAATACCAGTCTAGTTAAAATATTAAATACCAAAGTAACACACACATAAATATTTGAAGAACCAATGGTGGCAGCAAATCTAAAACTGATATATTCAATTCAGTAGCAGGGAGTGTAATAGAGTATCTGATTAGAGATAGCTGCTAAAGGCTATCTCTAATCAGATACTCTATTACACTCTCAGAATATATTAACAAATTTGCTTCTTAATGGAAGTTGATAAAGTAAGAGTAGTAGCATAGGTAAACTAAGAACACAACCTGGAATTATAAACATAAACCTTGCAAACCATTTTTTTTATCACACAATCTTAAACTGTTAAGTAAAGGGCTGTGAATTTGTGGTCGCTAAGCAATACAACACCCAGCATTCTCCCTTCTTGTACTAATAGCATAATGTGTGTTATAGCTAATGTCAACAGAGTAATTCTTATATGGAACTTTACATCAGTTCTTTGTACTAGATTCTTTGCAATAAAATCAATCACTATAATTTTATGGGGCAAGTCAATCTCATGATGTAATGCTTTCAAAAAATGCATTTTTATGAATTTGCTTTGAGATGCATATATTGAAAAGGCAATTTTTTAAAAAATATCTGCATGAATAATTGAAAGTTTGGTTTGGTTATTGAGATTACGGCAAAGCACACTAGGGCTATCTGCCTAAGGAGAGGGATGCCTTCGTGGAGGACTTTCTAAGGGAAACTGGCTCGTATACATGTTACACATGGGGAAAACCACGAAAACGCCCATGCAGCCAGCCTGTTTGCAGGATTTGAACCTCGGACCGAACTACCAGTGTTCAGCGACTTTACCGCTCAGCAACAGGTGGGTTGAATAATTGAAAGAAAAATATGCTAATGTAGAATTTAAAATTGAATTACAAAAAATTCCTAAAATTAGTGTAAATTTGAATAAAATTAGTAATTGCATTCAAAATCTAGCCAACCTAAGGTGGTTGCTTTTTTTGCCTACTATTCTAATTACTTACGTAAATGTAGCTCTTTGTGTAACTAATATTGATAACAGTAATTTATGATATTTTCATAAAAAATGTTAGTATGTTTTTATTTTACTATTTTGATTTACTTAACATATCCATTCTTAAAACAATCAACAATAAATAAATAAATAATCTTAACCTTTAAAAGACGGATGGCCTAAGAATCGGCCAGAGCTGCAGTGTCTCAAAAAGACGGCTGTGGCCGAAATATCAGCCAGCAAATTCCCCTCACCTCCATCCTTCAGGGTGTGGAGATAGACATTGTCTGAATAACGTCTCTTGCCACTTATACGAGATGACCTTCGCGCCTCCCAATTGTGGGGTTTCGTAAATTCCCTTTCGTTTCCCTCAGCAGTGAAATCTTAGCAATTTTACATTAGTATTAATTTCACCAACTTTTCAGTGTCATTAAAAATGTTTTTTTTTCTTTATATTTCCGCTTTTTATTGTAATTTTTGTATTTAATATTGCTGTTTGAAACATGCAAAATGCAATGGAGTGCAATGCAATGAAAATATAATCAATAAAATCTTTTAAAGTAAAAGAAAACAATTTAAAAAAAAAATTGCTAAAGGATAAAAAAAGCTTTTATCACAAAACTCCAAGAAAGAACGAACAATAATGTAGTTGAAAGATGAAATAACTTACGATACAATGGGGGGGGAATCAATAAATTAAACTGAATAAGAATACTAATGAAAAAGGTAAATGAAACTAATATAGGAAAAATACAACGGGATTTGTTTGATATATAAATATAAGCTGTTACACAATGCTTGGAAACTAATGAAAGCGAACTGTGGATTTATACAAGAAACAAATAGTTAAACATCATTTTCGAGTATAAATTAAAAATGCTAATTAGTACATGTAATTCTAAACTAAATTCAGTTTGGAAACAAATAAAAACGGAATAAACTATGAACTGGTTATAGGTGTGCATTTGCTGCTAAGGCGCATTTTCATTATGACGCAATGTCAAAAGTTAATATTCCAACATATGACAATTACTTAGCTACGAAATCTCACCATAATATGTTTCCCTAGCAGGAAAGAGAGCAAATTCAACAAATTTATTCATATTATTCCCTAGTCTCTTATCTGAAAATTAACAAAGGCAACCTACAGGAAAAGTTGCAAAAGAGTAGTAATTTCCCTTTACAATGGCAACTAAAAGGAAGGTGCAAATGCATTTGAATTTCCAGTCTTTTTAAGTGAAACCTTTCCAAACTGCCCCGTCTCTTAAAGGTTAATATTGCTACAGGTGCAATTAACCATTTTATATTTGTTATATTAATCAAACACAGTATGTTCATCTCCTCCTTACAAATAAATACACAAAACTGAGTATGCTAAATAATTTATTATTTGACATGCTTTATAAATTAAAAGAAGTTCATTTTTTAATAAATTTTCTTTCTTCTCATAGGAATTATGTTAATAACCACATACATCGGCATTATGATATGATTTATGATCCTTTCACTGAATCCATTATTGAAATAGATTCTTGGAAAAAAGCAGAGAAGATATCTGATGACCTTCGATCAAAAATCCTAATTCTGAATAATGCTGTTCGACGGCTAAAATATATATAATTATGCAGTAAACTATGTTGTTCCAATTTTTATTCATCTTGTAAGTTCATATAAGGAAAAAATTATGTATCAGTTTTGATAAAATATATTCAAATCTATTTATAGCAGCTCTAAAAAATCCATCAATTCTGAGATTCCAGCATATAATTATGAAAAATAATTTTAACTGATTATGCCAACTCTAAAGATGATGCATAAATACATCACAGAACAAAAAGCCTTTTAAACCAATTTTATTAAAGATGTTTAAAACGCTTTGAAGTATCCTATTTGAAAGTTTACCAAAAATTGGTAACCGACTTGCCTACTGTATAGCAACAATTTACCACGTGATCATGGGCATGCACACACCACTGATCACCTGAAACAAAACAAAACATTATTTCAAATAAAAAAATACTCCATTTTTTTTTTTTTATTTTACCCAGTATCAGAAAGTTGTTCTAATTCAACGATTGCTCACACATAAATTAATAACATACCATATATGGAAAAAATTTGATACAGAGAAACAATTGATAAAATTTCCCTAACAGGTAAACTGAATACCTTATTCATTTCCTCAACCATCATGACTACCTGACATCAAAACAGGAGACTTGATTTTTCCTATTAGGATACTGTAAAAAAACAATTTATGCTACAAAAGTTCTAGATATTTGGAAATGTGCATCAAAATTTAAACTGTCACTGTTCCATAATCCAGCTGTGTTGATGTAGCATACTCAAAGATAATTGTTTAAGAAAAGAAGAATTTTTACTGTAACAAAAGCACTTCCTCTCTCTCTCTCTCTATATATATACAAAAGTAATAGCGAACAAATTTTATATACCATCTAGAATTTTGAAATGCAGCCACAAATTCACACATGCAAATGATAGAAAATTGCATATAAAAAGCATTTTTACAACTTACAACTTTTAATATAAAAAGAGTACTTTAAAAAATTTTCACACACTTCCTAACAATAATAGCAGACTTTGCTTTCTTTTAAGAAAGAAGCCCCATTATTTTTCTCAGACAGTTTAATATAAGCTTAATTTATATAATATAATTAAAAGTGTCATCACAAAATACTGGATCTAAGTTTGGACCTTGTTTTAGTAACAGCACAGAAATTCTCCCATTCTACATTATTACGAGAAATCATCAAGAAAACGAAGGTTTATTATAGAAACAATTCACTCTAATTTAAAATTCCATCAGTACCTTGTTCCATGTCTTAGTAACAACGTTGAAATACTCACACTCTACATTACTAAGCGAAATTACCAAGGAAACCGACATTATTACAAATAATTCACATCATTTAAAACTCCATCAGTACCTCTTAAGTTTCCTGATTAAAACTCCTTCCAATGTCAACTCTTACTGGTTTTATAACTTCATTTAAGTTTTCTAAATTGTTATTCCAAAATTGTTAGAGAAGTTTATCACTTGCGACATCAGTTCACAATGTTACAAAACTATATAAAGTAAAAGAGCCAACCTTGAAATATGAAAAACCAGGAAGTTCTTGTGGAAAGACATTAAGAGAGATTTCTGAGATGTTTTGATGTTGTGCAGCGACAGCAGGTCAAATGAATTCTAAATTGATTTGAATTCACTATGTAATGCATGATTCAAGTCACTGAATTATTTATAATGCTAATTTAATGTGAAATACAATTAATATGTGATTAGGAAAAGGAAATATGTCAAAAATATGTAATTATGAAAATCAAAAGAATAATCGTTTTACTCTTATTCTCATTTTCTTTTACATTTTTGTTATACTGTGGAAGGTTATAAGTTTAGTATTTAATATAATAATTAATACACAATTAGATAATTTAATTTTGCAATTTTCTCATACTTTTAAAGAAAGCCTTAATTCTTAATTCACTTTATTTGAAATATTTTTAAATAGGTTGGAAATAAAATTAATAACTATTTTTCATGCTACTGTCTGAATAAACTTAGTAATATACCATTTATTGATGTAAAACAAATACAAATATTAACTGATTAAACATTCATTGAATCTTTGTAAAAAGTTCTATACACGCCTTACAGATGCAAAAAACTTACAAATAAAATTTAATAAGGAAAATTATGCTGAAAATCACTAGGGGGTGGGTAACAAACTTTACACACTTTTTGTTTCATTAATTCATTAAATTTAATTTATTGCTGGGAAATATTTTTTCAGAAAAGGCTAAACATTAAAAATTGGGAGATAAAGTAACCTGTTAAAAAAAAGACCAGGAGATGTGATGAAAAATCAGAAGATATAGCAGCTATGCTATGTAATATATATGTGTATATATACAACATACATATATATGTATGTATATATATATATATATAAAGAATACATTTACGTAAATTTAGCACAATAAACAACTTTACTGTTGTTTGGAATTTAATGAATGGTATAAATACATACTCAATGCAGCTTTCATCAATTCTGAGATTGTAAATAAAACTGAAAATCCACCGATTTTCCACTGAAATTTCTCATACTTCTTTGTTAGTTTCACTCTTTGCTAACAAATTTCTGCATTTTCACTTTTTAGTTTTTTACCCTAATTTACATGTAAAATACCCTTTTTACTTCCTTGTACGAAGTAAAAAGGAAGTACTTTAATCGCGAAAAGTTTCAGACATCGTATTTCAACAAAATTATACATTTTGACCACTATTGAATGCAATTTAAAGATTTTTTTTTTTTGCGACATCTCTACGTGAGGACAGAATAAAAGATTCTTTTCCCTCAAAAAAATTATAAAACTGATTTAAAATGAATTCTGAAGATAATTTTTCGTGGCATTTATATGTATGTATCTAGCATAACTCAAAAACGAGTAGCATCAGAACGTTGAATTTTGTATATAGGACTGCTATAACATGTAGATGTGCACCTTGTATTTTGGTTGCAATCGACTGCACCAAACGTTTTTTCATACGCAATCCAAAGATACTTCAAACCCTTTCAAATACCAAAAATCCATTTTCAAGTATAAATTACACAAAAACCTAGCTACATAAAAATCACGTGAAATTTTAAGAAAAAGAAAAAGTTAGAAGAAATACATTGTAAAGGCAATATGAGGTAGTGAAATAAAAAATTTTATGTCTCACACAAACTGGAAAGCTGTCACCCCTTATCATCCTATCCAAGCTAAAGGTAACTTGACATCAGACTAGTGTACATGGATATCATTTTAATTAAAAACACAGCACAGTTAAAAAATATTCCTCTTCTATGAATGTAATCTTGTTTTATTTTCCATAAAATCTAATTTCATTCAAATGCAATTAAAAATATCTAGAATTGAATTATCATACACACATACTTTTTTATTAATCACACTATTTGTTGAAGTTTAACAAAAATTTATAAAGACATTTATATTAAAAAATTATTATGTCAGTAATTCAGATTAAGCTTTTTTAGGAAGAGGTAGAAACTGAGAAAATACAAGCCCCATTCAAATTATATAAGAATTTTCCTGACAAAATTGCTTATGACATACAATGTTCTTACCATATTGGGGGGGGGAGAGAACAGTGAACATGGTAGTGAGTCTGAAATAATTATTTTTGGAATTATATAAATTATCATAATATTGCTGGCTTACATCAACAAGGAAAAATGAAATGCAACACACATTCAAAGACTTTCCCACTTTCACATAACAAAGTATATTTTACATTATAATGTAGTTTACCAGTTTTCTCAGAATTTGTACTGACGCTGATAAGTTTTATTACTTAGGTCTATCAATATAATATATAAATATCATCAGAAATAGTCATGTATAAAAGATAAAATATGTTAAATGTTAAGTTGATGCCTTTTACAAAATACATAACTTTCTGTCACACACCTTGCAATATAGAAATACAACTGTTAAATCATTGCCATATTATTTCATGCAACACACTCACTCTAAAAGAAAGTTCTGATAAGTTATAAATTAAAAAATTAGTTTATTATGGTTATATACAAGTTATACATTGCTTTATAATTTCTATATGAACAAACTTCTTAGATCAAACGTTTGGCCACGTAAAATGAAACTAGAATATATAAACTTTAATTACTGTACATTTTTCACAAAACAGTCTCAATATAAAAATCTCATGAAAACATGTTTAGAAGAAGATCTACTATGCTTGAGCTTAGAATATATCAGGACAATTTGAAAATTCTCGTTCCCAGTAGTGACCTTTGTAAGACCATGATTCTTCTTTGGCATATGGATGTGGTTTGGATTCAAACCATCTGCAAGAACATTTTAAAGATTTACTCTTATTAAATTTTAATTAGGGATTCACATTATTTTAAGCACACATTTCTTATTTTAATAAAATAATTAAATGCTTAACTTGCTAGCTATTTTTAAAAGCAATCATCATAAGTGAAATGCAAGATGACAGTCTACATTCATTCGTCATTACAAACAAAATTAATTAAATATACATATATCAAACTAATGTTTCAATATATTTTCCATAATTATACTTTAAATTATAAAATATATAAATTTCAATGCTAAATATGGGGCAGACTACACAGGATTAGGAAATTTATGTGTATGGTCTCTTCACAAGTCGCAGTCTTCGAGCTGTTATGAGGTAAGAGTCAACATGCTCTAACATTGCATGAGCAAAATTTTTTCAGCAATACGTTCACTTGACATTACGCAGGGTTCGTACACATTTCTGCACACGGAAATTAAGTACTTTTAAGGGCCATTAATGAAAAAAATTAAGGACCTATGAGCAAATGGGAACTGAATAAATTCAATTAAAAATATTATTCTATGCCTGAATTTCACTTTTGTAATACCATCCTAAAATAAAATAGATACCTAAGTAGTATGCATCATTACTAACCATGAATTAACTAACATAATTATTAATAAGTTTGAGAATAAAATAAACTTCAAGCAGTTTATCAAGTAGCATAAAAATATTTTACACTTATAATAGTTGGACATATTTAAAAGAAGATAAGTGACATTTATGTTTTACTAATAGTTAGCATTATGCTGGTTTTTTTTTTAAATATCTCATTTTGTCACATACTTGGTCAGTCTAGAAGTTTAGCAAATAGTAGGGAGATTTTATGTCAAACGGCAAAGGTTAAAATGAGAAGTGAGATCATAATCAGCACGATTTATAAAAAAGACTGAACGCTGTCCCTCTGCTGCTTGCCTATAGAGAGACCTGCTGATTGGAACAAACCTGAAAGGCCTGATGTAGGCACGGTTGGCAAGTGTTGAAAGTTAGTCAAACTCTGCTTAATGCAGTTAATGTCATAGCTTTGTGTAGAGTTTCAGGGGTTGTAACCCAGTTAATATACTTTAAGGTTCCAATAAGCCATTAAAGCGCCAGAGGTGATACGTTGTTTTATATATGTCTCAGTAGATGCAAAGAATAAGTTTTACTTGATGGGTGTTGGATGATAGTTCTCCACACAAAGGATTTGGCGATTGGATTCCCTAAATTACCCAATCGCCCTTTAAAAGGGGGAGTATAAAAGGTATTTCTCCCACCTTCTTGGTGACCTTTCGTGGTGTAGTGGTTTGCACACTGGTAGCGGTATTCCAGAGGTCCGCGGTTCGATTCCCGGCGAAGGCGTTGTTAATTTTTTATCTTTCCTGCTTTCAAAAATACCTAATGTCTCTACAAGCCTTCCCAAACATTTTGGCTAGTTTGTATGTATCTTAAGTTTTACTAACGTTTATTTTATTTTAAATCTTTACTATCACTTCTTATTTTCTACTTCCGGCCAGAATTATAAGCGTGAAGGAGTTTATGCAAAGTTTGTCTGGCGAACGCCAAGTACTTAAGTTATGGCTTTTTGCCAAGCGAAAGAGAGGAAGCAGTGAGTTCGAAGCAGGCCGCTTACCTTAGAAGTTACGCAGTTGCTGTTTGCCTTCCAGGCCAGAGGTTTTAATCCTCTTGATAAATTAAACGTATTGTAGTCTCTGTGCTACATACGCTTCCTGTTATTATAAGGCCAATCTTCCACGTGTATTATTCTAAAGTTAAATTAGAGTTTAGTTTTATTTTTTTACTTTTACGTTAGACCCCGAGTGGCGGGTCAATGTATTCCGAAGTACGGAAGTTATTGTATATAGAGAAAAATAAAGGGTTTTGTATACCCTTCGTCTGTATCCTGTCTACTTACTACAATTAGTGAACATAGCTTTAGTAAGCTCTCTGTTCCTAGTCAGGTCCTTGTATGTTCCCGAAGAAGGTTAGAAGGAACATTGAACCTGATAAGTTTACATCAATTTCCTTCTCTTTAATTATCGACCTTTTCTGACAATAATTAGAAATTTGTCTCAATATGCAAACAATGTTCTCACTAGTTTCTGTGTGCTTTATCTCCTAACTTGTCAACCTTTTCACAATGTACCTATGAGGGTTTACTTGATCTGGTAAAAGTTAAATAGTCCCCCCCCCCGATAGACGTGAAGCAAATTATCACTGTATCTGAAAGTAACTACAATGTCAGACAAAGAACTTAGAACATAAAGGCATGTTCTGATGCTAACAAAGTCAACTCACGGTGACGTAATTGAACAAGAATAGTCAAATTCAAACTAAAAATGTGGACTAGTGGTCAAAGATAATACAATTTAATTTTATTTTATTCTGGCTCAGTAACTCTATCATATGAGGAAACAGAAATGGGAAGTTATAGTAAAGGCTGAAATGATAAACGATTGGGTAATTTACATAATAATAACTGCACATATCTTTGAAGAATAATTTTCTTTATGTATTCGGTTTCTTTCTTCAACGCGTTTCCTTTTAATTTTAGAATTTTTGGATTTAATTAAGGATTTCTGTTATTCTAAAAAACACTAAATGCATTTAGAATGTACAGAAAAAGCGGCTAATTTTATTTCTTTAGTAATATGAACATTCAGAAGAAATATGAAATATATATGGTAAAGGCCGGTTACAGAGCAGGTGTGGCAGAATTCTGAGAATTTAGTGACACACAGAACAACAAAATCTAGAAATGGCAAAACTTTTAGAATTTAGAGCAGGCATTGGAAAGCAGAATTTAGGCACTAGGCAGCAGAATTAGGATACACAGAGATTGCATCAGGTGATAAAATGCATAGCACCAGCTCTGTGTATGATGCATTTAGACACATTTGATGAATCTTTTAAATTGTAAGTTTTCAGTTTCTTTATTAATAAAAATATCTCTTTATATAATGCCTGCCAAGTAATAAGATTAGAAGCATTTCTGATATTTTCCATGCTTTTGTCTAGTAAAAAGTTGAGAAATAAAGGGAAGATAAACATGTTAAGAAAAAAGATTCTAATATCAAGAATAAATCATTCAAATATTATGTTTCCATTGTTCTTCCAGACGTTCTTCAAAAAGTAAGAAATTCATCGCAAACTTTCTGTAAAATGCATCCATTACGTGTTGATATGTTCATACCATGGAGACATTTTTAATTTGTCACATATTTCTCGAATCTTCTAGAATCGTGGGTCTATAAATCTTGCCTTCAAATCCTTCTAAACTTTCCATGCTACAATGTCAAAAATACTAAAGAAAAATTATCCCAACCAGTTCTGTAACAGCAAAAAGCCAGAAATATTTTGAAAAAAAAAAGGAAGGAAAAATTGTAAAATTGATTTTATAGAGAAAACTGATGCATATTCTGAGACAATTACATGGGGAAAGTGCAGAATCGCCCACTGCTTGGCGCGTTTTTAAGAATTGCACATACTCAGTATCCATGCACACATCGACCTATTTTCACTTAAAAAAATATCGCAGAATTGCACAAAAATGGCATTGCGCACTTCCTTGACTTAATCCATGTACACATTGACCTATTTTCACTTAAAAAGTCAAAGAAAATTGACAAAAATACAATTCTTCTTACTCTTGTAAAAGGCACCAAACAAATAAGTGGGCGATTCTGCACTTTAGCCAAAACTCTAACTATGAAAAAATGAAAAAGAAGACATTTTAATTAATTACATAGCTAATTTTGCTTTTACTGAGAATTGTTTCGTAAATTATGCATTATAGCTATATACTTTTTTTATTTTTCAGATTTAAAATATTGTACAATAAGTTGCCAAAATGAAACTTTATAATATGACAATGAAAAATAAAAATGTTTTATTTGAATGTTATTTTTTAAATATAATTCTAATATATTACCATTATTTTAATGAAATTTATCAATGTTATGATGTTTTAAAAAAATCACCGAAAAATTCTCAGATCTCGGAATTAAAAATTTTCTATAGAAACTGATCTTAAAATCGCCAAAATGTTGACAAGTTGTCAAATTTAGAACCTTTTAATAAAAGAATTCACAACCCCAAAAGCGAAAAGTTGTTTAAGAGCTTTTTATTAGAAAAAAAAGAATTTCGAAATGATTATGTTTCACTTCTTGCTTAGAAACTCGAGTATTCCATCATTTATATTAGAAATAGAAACAAATTATAACCATATACGTTAGTGAATTGCCAAAAATATTCCTCCAAAACGCTAATTCACACTCAAAATGGCAGTCGTAAAAACAGAGAAATTTTAGATGATTAAAATTAAGGACCTTCTACTGATTTTGTCCAAAATTAAGGACTTTTAACGACCAAAAATTGATTTAAAAAAATGTAAGGACTTTTAAGGACTCTTAAGGACCGTACGAACCCTGATTACAAGTTATAATTTCACAGCCAGTCTCAGATTTTAGCAATTTGCCCAGTGTCCATCATTAAGGCCTCTCAAATTCAGAGGATCGAAGAACCAAGGACTCTTCATTCAATATCACTTGTTAGTTGGCATTATTATATTGTTAAAAGAGCTTCTCACAGATTTATATGAATGTGGTTTTAGTTCTATATGCAATCTATCAGTGGTTCTCAACTAGGAGAGAATCTCATAATTTCATAGGGTTATTGCAATCAGTCTTTTATTTAGCTGTTAACCATTTTAGTTATGAATAAATAAATAAATAAAATACAAGTTAAAAAAAAAAAAAAACTTAAAGGTTTCAGATTTTAAATTGCGTTCAAAGGGGTGTTTTTTTAACATTTTGTGTGTTACCTTTATTTATTAAATATCATGTTCTTTGCACTTAAACCATAAAATTCAGTTCAGTATCAATGTCGTAAAATAATTTTAAAATGAGGATATCTTTAGAATTTCCGATACACAGTTCCATGCCCACTGGAGATAAAAAGGTATTTTCCTCACGCTGTAGAGTGTTGCCATTGCTCGTTTTT